GCCCCCCCCCCCCCCCCCCCCTAATAGTCCAAGAGGGAGTCTTCATCTGCTGCTGACAGGAAGACGGCAGCAGAGAGCTTTTAGGTGTTACTCTCCAAATACTCTCCTCAGCAACTGAAAACTAAGAAAGTTAAGTGTGTTTTAACCAAATCACTCTTCTTTTCACGCAATTTAATTCTGCGATAGTTGTTACGTTATCACCACATTGAAATGTTATTTATCACATCTTAGGCAAATTTAACACAATTTTTTCAAGAACGAAATCTTGAATATTTTGGATCTTTTGCTGTAATATACCTTTCAAATACATTGCACCTATCAAGCACAGTCTCTTGATACGTTTGCAACAATAGAACTATAAACAATCTATTTAATTATAACAAATCATGGTGTCACGTAATCAAGTACTGTACTTACAATTTTGAGGTACTTTACTTGAGTATTATTTGTATCTACTTCTACTTCATTACATCTCAGAGGTAAATATTTTACTTACTTAATTTAAATACTATGTATATATATATATATATATATAATAATAGAACTTTCTGAAAGGGATGATTCTGCCCAACTAGTACTTTTACTTTAATACTTTCTACATTGACTTTAGAGAAATCTTGAATTTAAAGCTTTTACTTGTAACAGAGTATTTTGACAAAGCGGTATTGCTTCTTTTACTTATAGTACTTCCTCCACTACCACATAGTACTAACATATATATTTTAGAGGGTGGAGGAGGAGGAGGAGGAGGAGGAGGAGCGACAAACAGAAGACAAACAAACGGTAGATGACCTTGTCGCTGTTCTTGTATTTGTCCCAACTCTTCAGCATCTTCAGCCATTTCCCGGTCCTCTCCACCTCCACGTGTTTTTGCTGAGCGGAGAGAAGAAGCGACACATGAATAACTTCCTCTCGTGGAGTTCTTTCTGTGTCTGCGTTCACGTCCGCTGGGAATCGCTGTCAAAGTTCAAAGTGGTTCGAAGCCGTCGAGATGCTGTGATTAAATCCTTCTGTAGACGTCGATCAGCTTTTTACACATTTTGTGAACACAAATGTTTTGGAGCAGAACAAAGCACATCTGTCAGCTCTGGGATCAGGAATTGGATTTTAATATCACAAATACATCACTTATACACTAAGACTCCAACATCAGTCATGTGAGGAACAATGCAAACAGGAAAAAGGGAGTTTATTATCTTTAACATGGTGGCAATAATAGTGATATTTATTTGAAATAGAGTTAGAGAGACGTAATGAAGTAACTCACCTTCTCCTCCACTGAGTCATAGGATGGAAGTTCATTCTTACTGAAGAGAGAAGAAGAAAGAGGAGGAGTGAATGAGAGGAAGAGGTCTTCAGCTCATCTCTTAACCTCTGAGTTTATTGTTAGTTTCTTCCTTGCTGTCATATGCGCAGAGTGGAAGAATCATAGTTTAGTCGACGCTGTCAGAAAACGACACAGCTGATCGATGAAACAACGGAGTGAAATCCGGGTCGGTGCTCGTCTCACTCTGTCCGACAGGAACATCAAACATGTCAGCGGTCACACGAACAGGAAACAACAGATCAGACATTCCTCCATTCCTGCAGGAGTTACTTTGCTTTTCTTTTATCTTTACAGCCACACTGCACGTACGGAAGCCCACAGGGGACTTTATTAAGAGAATAATATGAACGTGATAATGAAAATGTAACTCCAAAATAGCATTGTTCTTTTTCCACACACGTTTCTATTATTTGAGTAAAAACTTTCAATTATAATTTTCATGTTCACATACTTGTATCAGGTTACATTTTATAAATTCTTAACTCAAATAACACAAACCTTTGTGGAAGATAACAATGCTTTGTGAACTTACATTTTCAAGTTCAAATTATGATTTCAATAAATAAACAATAAAATACAGATTTTAATGAGTTCAGCTGAAAATGCATGTTTGATCTCTGCTGATGAATATTTGTCACTATTTTCTCTTTGCTTCCTTCTTGTTTTCAACAAACAACAATGTGTCAAAATCAAGATGAAAAGTGACAGTTGAGCTATTGTTCCAACATGTCTACGATGTCTTTCACATTTTAGGATCAAAGCAAAATAGCAACAAGAAAAAACTAAAAATTCCTTTCAACAAACAAACTTTCCTCTTTAAAAAAAAAAAGAAATTAACTCCAAATTAGGTCACTTTTTCCAGGAAATAATGACGTTATTAAGAAATAAGAGACCCTTAAGATAACTCAAATGAGAGCGAGCCTTGCCACACAGGTGAGCTCACTGCAGACATGAGTGCTGATGAGGTGTGTTGTTTTTAATTGTCATGAGTTAAGCGATTACACACATGAGGTATTTCCTGGTTTTATATAAATAGATCAACACACGCAACAGAGTTCTTCTCGAACCAGACACAACTTTCAGGGAAAAGCATCATTCTTCTTCTTCTTCTACCCAGCCAGTGACCTCACCTCAGGCTACTTCTGTCCCCGTCTAAAACAATCATATAACTCTGATGTTCTCTTTTCTTTCCTCCCTCCATCTTCCACCGCCTATGGTCTGGATCGTACCACTCTATGCTAGCACTGATGCCCTGTGATTGTGGCTAACCAGGCTGCTTCCTGCCGGCATGTGCCAGCCTATATATATTTATATCCTATATATAAATATATATATATAAAACACTCCAGCACAGTGCTGTCTAAGCCACAAACACACTCTCCTCTCAGCCTCTCATTTTCTCCCTGTTCCCTTCAATATAGCTCAAAGTGGGCTCTGAATGGTTCTTAATTTAGTTATTAGGAATAATGACAGGTTACGATGTTATTTTCTGTGCGAGTCCTTACTGAACGAAGCCAAAGCGGTCGATGACTTTGTAGAGGTGGAAGTTGGTGTCCTCCCAGGGCTCCACGATGGCTTCTTTTCCCTGGAGTCAAGGAGAGAAAAGTGTCGGTATCGCATAAAGACGGACAGACGGTGAACTGGGAACAGTTTCTATCAGTTACAAATGAGATGTACTTTGGGTTTTTAGACGTTAACTCAGTGAGTGCTGATGGAGCAGCTTCAATGTTAGCAAAGCATCGCTCTGTTCAATCCAAACTACATTCAGAATACAAGCATTTTAAATGTGCTTGTCGTCTTGCGGAGAGTCGGACTTCAGACTTTTAACAAATCAGCATCTTCATCTTATTATTTCTGCATCCTTTTGATCCGTTTTGTGCAATTAAATCACTTTTTTGGGGGTTCATACTGCTGTAATACACCAGGTTAATTCAGCAGCACGAAGAAATACAAAAACTAGAATAAATAAAGTAAAAATGAGTCAGCCATTTGAAACATTAGGACCAAAATGTGACGTGCACTTTGGAGAATTTTCTGACCTTTTAAAGACAAAAACTATGAATCTGAAAAACAACCGACAGTGTAGATAATTAGTTGCAGTGCTGCAGTTTCTCTCCTGATGCCCGTCGAGCGCTGAAATAAAGCGAACAGTGACTCCTGATTGAGCTACAGATTACATGCCACCCACGTTCTTCAGGGGCAGAGAATCATGTTTTGATTGGCTGCTACATTAGGAGGGGAGCCACGACTCCGCCACCCTTGGGGAAAGTGTGTGAGCGTGAGTGTGTTTATGAGAAACCGTGCGTGTGTGTGTGTGTGTGTGCGATTAACAGGTGTGAAATGAACAGCCAGACGCCCACCTGCGTCACCGTCTGACTCCAGGCCAGAAACTGGCTCTATAGTTAATTCACCATCACGGACCAACGACACAGAGAACCCACAGTGGGAGCGTCTGAGTGTGTGAGGAAGGATTAGGAAGAGAGACGAGCAGGGAGAGAATATCAAAGAGTGTGTGAGGAAAAGAATAAATGGGACGAATAGAGGACAAAACAAGTTGAATAAGAGTCAACGCAAAGCTCACACCATGAAGTACAGAAGTATGGAAATGTCGCAAATCGATTTGAGGCTTTGTTGTACTGAAAAATGAGTCTCAAACTGATGCAAACATGAACAGAAACAAACTTAAATCCACGTCCATTATAGTTTCTAGGTTCCCATAATGCTTTGTGGAATGTAAACAGGAAGTATAATGCTGCTAATGTTATTTTGTAGCCTATAACAGTTCACATTTTGACAAAAGTATGCAGAATTAGCTACTAGCAGCTCCTGTTTGTATTGTTCTGAAGCTCCTTTTTAATGATTTCTAAGCAGATTTCTGGCCGTTTATTCAAGAATCTGATTGACAAAAATCACATGTTACAAAAATCTGGATGTGAGGAAAAGCTTCACAAGACAATCTGAGAAGTTAGAGGAAGACGCTACAGAAACAACTCACGGACCTCTCAACTCGTCTGCTGTTAATGTTCTGCATACAGCCAGAGAGACAGAAGGCCTGTCCGTGGTCTCACAGGTCAGTCTGACGACCAGATGTTGAGGTGAAATATTTCTAAATTCATCTCCACCCTCAGCAGAAACACACCAGCTAAATAAATAACACACACCCCACACACACGCCTCTGGTGACTCTAAAGACCTCTGTGTGTGTTTTTATATCCCGCCTCACACCATCATCTGACACATTCATCATTTCTCTCCCTGCTTTAGAAATCAATCAATGTTGGGGGGGGGGGGGGGGG